TGGTCAATCTCTAAAATCTCTGTTACAATATTTTAGTAATGGTGCTCTCATCTTGGTTGTTCTAGAAACAAATGTTGAATGGCAAAGGAGGAAAAATCTTCTGTTTGAATGGTTACCCTGTAATTCAAGATATTCAAGAACCCTTTGAACATAGCAGATGTCTTTAAGTTGGTCTCTGTCTGAGGCTGAAAAAGGAAATTTCCTAGATAAATTTTTGAGGTAATCACTGAATGTTCTTTTTTTGTGGTGAAGAGGTTTTTGATGTTATTTGGCAGTTGGAAGTTCTGTATGAGTTCAGAAATTGCACTGTGTTGAGTGCTTTATGGAAAATAAAGGTGGAGAACTTCAAGCAGTGCTTTCTGAAGTTGGTAGGGAAAATGTAGAAGTCAGAAAATGGGAAAACATGATCTACAAAAGATTTTGTCAACAATTGAGTTTGGGCCATTTGGTTTTTTTTCTTCTTGGTGTAGTAGGAAGTTCTAAACAGGTTAAAATTTCTTCTGTGATTACCCCATGTATTGTAAACTCTGTAGTTGCAATGAGATGAATCTCTAATAGAGACTTACTTTGTTCACACTGTCAATGTAGGCTGTTCAGCCTACATATCTATGAACAAAGTTGTGACTTTTGTGGCTTTCTGAAATTTTTATGGGGAATACAAATGGATTAAAAAAGCAAAAGCCCCTTAAAGTTTTGACTGTTTTAAAGGATGGAAAGAAAAGTCCTTTGCTTCCTGAAGATCTTGCAGATATTAGGAATTAACTGAGAAATGACTTGTAAACCAAATCCATGGCTTTCATTCCTTTAAGAGTTTTGAAAAATGTCTTCTGCTGCTCAGCTTGTGTGTTCGCTTAGTAGCTGATTTTAAGATGAACACTGTTAATTGCCTAACTGTTGATCACCAACAGAAATATTAGCTAATAAGCTTAGCTGCTCTTGTTTGAGGAAGATACCTTCATTTTAATAATTGTTATTTTCAGTTGGGTGAAATAAAGTGAAGAATTACATGTCAGTATTGGAAGAAGAGGAAGGAGCAAACTTACAAGTAAATCTTAACCATCATTAAATCAATAGTTAAGAGTGTTAAAAATACTTGGTTTGATATTTGGCTCTGAATTATCATTAATTTAAAGATACATAATTTAACGTTTGGGCTTCCTTGGAATTTAGATGCAAAGGAGATGTGTCGCTGGACCACTACACTGGGCTTAGCAAAGAAGGCGAGAAAGAGCTGGAGGATGCCAACAGGAGCTTGAAGTGCAACATTTATTTTGTTTTCCTGCTG